ACCCAGTGTCTTCAAACAGCCTTCATGTCCCCACATCCATCCCCAGTCTCCAAACCAGGACCAGCCCTGTGTCCCAAACTTGTCCCAGTGTGCCCAAACCAACTCCCAGACAAAACTAATAGAGACTCCATGTCTCCAAACCAGTCCTGTGTCCCCAAGCCAATCCCAGACTACTGACTGGAACTGTCTCTGTGTTCCCAAACTCTCTCTGCATTCCTGAACCATCCCAGTGTCCTCCAACCAGCTCCGTGTGCCCTAATCCTCCCCATGTCCCCAAACCAGCCCCATGACCCCTGGCTGCGACAGAGTGGGGGTGAAGGAGCCGGAGGAGGTGTCTGACTGAATTTTGACTCAGTTTTGAGCTCTCCCCTCTGTTTCAGTCTGTGCCCCTCCAGCTGGCCCTGGGTGGCTGGGGAGGGGGTGGAGGTGTTCCCAAACCTCCTGGGAGCCCCTGCCCCTGCACAGCCAGCCGGGCACAGGGAGGGGCCTGCCCTGACCCCCTGCTTGTCCCAATTAGTCACCGGGCCCAGCTGCGGCCCCCTCAGTCCCTGCTGTGCCCCCCGGGGTACCCAGTGCCCTGCAGCATCGCTTCCGTCCCCATGGCAGCCACAGCCCATCCCCATGGCAACCCCGGGCACCCCAAACTGCAGCGCCCCGTGCATCCTGCCCCAGAGTGAGGGCAAAGGGTGTGTGAGAGTGGGAGACGTGTGTGGGGTGTGTGTGCATGTGCATGCACGTGTGTGCATTTATGGGCAGTGTGCATGTGGGTGCATGTGCATGTCTGTACAGTGTGCATATGTGTATTTGTGCATGTGTGTGCATGTGTGCATTTATGGGCGGTGTGCATGTCTGTACAGTGTGCATATGTGTGCAGTGTGCATGTGCCTGCATGTGTGTATTTATAGGCAGTGTGCATGTGTGCATGCATGCACAGTGTGCATGTGTGCGTGCATGTGCGTGTCTGTACATTGTACAGGTGTTTGCATGTCTATACAGTGTGCATGCGTGTGCATGGGTGCATTGATGTGCTGTGTGCACGTGTGCATGTGTGTGCAGTGTACATGCGTGTGTGCATTTATGTGCTGTGTGCATGCGTGTGCATGTGTGTGTGCATTTTTGTGCAGTGTGCATGTGTGTGCATGTGTGTGCATGGCTGTACATTGTACAGGTGTTTGTATGGCTATACAGTGTGCATGGGTGTGCGTGTGTGTGCATGCAGCAATGTAGGTAAACATAAGCTCATGGCCCCACCTGAGTGTGTGTGGATGTGCATGGATGTGTGTGGACCTGTGTGTGCCCCTGTGCATGTGCACCTGCATGTGCAGCCTGTGTGTGCATGCACACCCCTGTGTGAATGTGCATGTGTGTGTGCACCTCTGCGTGCCTGAACACGTGTGTGTGTGTGTGTGTGTGTGTGTGTGTGTGTGTGTGTGTAAGGACATCCCCCCGAATACATGTATGTGTGCAGATGTGTGTGTTTGTGCATGTGCACCCTGCACGAATGCACACACACATGCATGCATCTATGCACGTCAGGGGCATGCACACCCTGCAAGAATGCACGTGTGCATGTGTGTGTACGAGCATTTGTGTGGTTGCACCTGTGTGTGTGTGCATACCCCTGTGTGACTGCCCACACGTATGCATACACCTATGTGTGCAATGCATGTGTGCGCACACACACCTGCACTTGTAATGCCCGTGTGCGCACATGCACGTGTGTGTAATTCTGATATGCACCTGTGCAGACCCACAGCTGTGTGCACACGTGTGGCTGGGCACACAGGGGTGAGTGCCTGTGCCACTGGGCCAGCAGTGACACCTGGGGACCAACCTGCCAAGACACCCCAGGCGGTGTTGGGGACACACGTGGTTCAGCCCAGCTGGCCCCAGCATTAATGAGCATTAATTATACTGACTTTAATGACCATCTATTAATTCCTGTGCCCTAGCAGGGTTGTTTTTTTTTCTGGAACAGCCCCATAACTCCAATATGGGGCTTTTGAAAACTTAAAATTAAGCATTTTCTGCAGCCCAGAATGACCAGCTCTGCTACAGAAAGTCAGGACTTGCAGCTGGTGAGAAAATCCCTTTTTGGGGAGAATTTAGTCCCAGCCCCATTTCATCAGACTGCTTTGTCCCACTGGCCTTGCCTGACACCCTCTCCATCTGATCTTAAGCTGCACCAAGGGAAATTTAGGTTGGATGTTATGAAGATGTTTTTTACAGAGTGATAAAGTTCTGGAATTTTCTGCCCTGAGGAGGTGGTGGAGTCGCCATCCCTGGGTGTGTTTAACAAAGCCTGGATGTGGCACTGGGTGCCAGGGTTTAGTTGAGGGATTGGGGCTGGGTTGGACTCAATGATCTTGAAGGTCTCTTCCAACCTGGTCATTC